TGATGTGTCATTGCAAAAGGTTTTTTCCCATTCTGTGGATTCCTTTGTTTACTCTTCTGGTAAAGTCGTTTGATGCACATAAGTTCTTAACTTTTAGTATGCCCCAGTCATCTATTTTGTCTACTTTTGTTTGTGTAGTTTTCAAAATGTTTGGTAGTCTGTGTATTCCTTGAATCAGAGCCCTCACATTTGTCCTATTTTTTCATTGATGACCTTCATAATTTGGGGATTTACATGTAGGTCTTTAATCCATGCTGAGTTGGTTTTTGTATAAGGCATGAGGGGAAGATCTTGTTTCAAACTCTGGCATATGCTTTCCAGGTCAGCCAGCACCATCTGTTCAAGAGACTATCACCTCCCCATGCGATATATTTACGTACTTTGTCAAAAATCAGTTGGCTGTATGTAGATGCGTTAATGTCTGAATTCTCGATTCTGTTCCATCGATCTATATAGCTTTCACTGTACCAGTACCAGGCTGTTTTGACTACTATATCCATGTATAAATTTTGAAGTCGGGGAGTGAGAGGTTTCCAACCTTGTTTTTCTTCTTAAGCATTGCTTTGCTTATCCTGTGTTTCTTTCCTTTCCGTATAATGTTTGTAATTGTTTTTTCCATCTCTTTGAAGATGGGAATCTGGATTGGGATTGCATTATATGTGTAAATTGCTTTGAACAGTATAGACATTTTCAATGTTGTCTTCCTATCCAGGAGCATGATACATTTTTCCGTTTTTGTAGGTCTCTTGGTTTCTTGTAGTCGTGTTTTGTAGTTTGCTTTGTGTAGGTCCTTTGTTTGGCTGATGCTCTTGAGCTTCTCCATAGTCTCTTCCCACCGTGTTCTATTTGATCCATCTGGCAACAACCTGCAAGCCAGAACCTTAGCCAACTCACTCTGGACCTAATGGTGCCCTCTTGTGGCCAATATATGTGATTGCAGCCTTTTACTGATCACAGCTTTCGCCTGTCCCCTCATCGATTCCTCCCCATGATGGTTTCAGAGTAGAACTGAGCTCCACAGTGTTTTCAGTGACTACTTTTATTGGAAGCTGATCGCCAGCCCTTTCTTCCACGGCATCTCAGGGTAGATTTGAACCTGCAGTTGGGTTAGTAGCAGAACTCGTTAATCACCCAGAGATTCCCAGGGGTGGTGGTGGTGGTGTGCCGTGGAGTCGGTTCTGACTGATAGCGACCCTGTACAGGGCTTCTGAGGCTATAAGTCTTTATGGGAGCAGAAAGCCTCATCTTTCTCCCGTAGAACAGCTGGTAAGTTTCGAACTGCTGACTCTGAGGTTAGCAGCCCGACTCATAACCACTATGCTACCAGAGCTCCTTAGAGATCCCCAGCAGATCAAATTGATTGAGATACCTAGTTACGGAAACACTTGCACTTTCTGACTGCATCCTAGCCAGAACAAAGTTTGGCTTTTTTACAATAATACCAAGCCCGAGCCCAAACCTCCTAAGTCCTTTATTACACCGTCTTGCCCCCTGGGGTGTGTGCTCTCCCTTGCTCACCACAGGTGGGCTCCTGGGTGTCTTTGGCTGGAGCACATTGGCAAGAGCTTCTATGAAAGTGTTCTGAGCAGTGGGTGGGACCTGGTAGCATTACTGAGAAAGTCCTTGGGTGACGCACATGATGAAGCACTCGACAAGTAACTAAAAGGTTGGTGGTTCAAACCCAGCCAGAGGTGCTGGGGATCTGCTTCCGAAAGTCACAGCCCTGAAAGGCCCGTGGTGCAGTATGTATGGGGTCACCACAAGGTGGAATTGACAGGACAGCAACTCAACAACAGCAGCGAAAGCGTTAGCTAAGCTTTCCATCATACATGCAAGGGACACAGCACAGTGCCTGACAAGTTGGAAATTCCCACAATCATTCATGGCTTTCCGTCGCAAAATGGCTTTCCAGAGCCAGTTCACTTTCTTGAATTGTCTGTTCAGTGTACATTTCCATCTATATGCATGTGAATTCTTACTGAGTGTGAAATACTTAAACAAAAGCTCAGAAAAAAGATCACAGTCACCCCCTGTGTTTCCCACCCAGTTTAAACAAATTTTCACAGTTTGGCTACCTTTGTAAAGCAGGTATGTGACGCTCTGTCTGCCTGCCATGTGTAGGGTGTAGGGTGCGGGTGTGCTACCTTTGGGAAGCAGGTATGTGACGCTCTCTCTGCCGTGTGTAGGGTGCGGGTGTGCTA